AGTGTAAATAAATAAATAAAATTGGAAGCCATTTTCTCCTAGTCTTTTAAAACCCATATATGAAACTGATTGTCATAGTTATATGATTGGTAGGCAAATATGTTTGACTACCTATATATAAAGGCCTCGCGCTCGCGGTTATTCAGGTAAAGTAACATCTAGGACGCCTGCCGCCTATCGCTTCCTCCTGCAGTAAACGTGAGGCATGTTTCTCGTTGAAATTCAGAGATGTGTTTTTCTACATCGTCTAGAGCGACACGATTTCTGCTTTGCTGAATGGTGTACAGGGTGGTCCACAGGCCCCTCCTTTTAATTTGCCTATACTGTACCGCATGCAGCCGTGCGGGCAGGCTTGCGTACCGTCGCTCACCGCGGCACCTCATGGCCCCGTGCGAGTGTGCAACCTGGCCGCATGCCTGCATCGGGTACAGTATAAGTAAAATAAAGGAGGGGGTCTGTGGACCACCCTGTATTTCGGTTAACGAAGGACGTACCCCCATATTCGGGGATCATGCCCTGCCCAGGCGGTATGGGGCACGTTACCCGGCCTACGTACACCAGGGTTTGTAACCGACCGAGGTACACCCTCGGTTCCCCTGCAGGAATGGACGTTTATTCGACGTCTAATTAAAGTCTACGTCGAGGGGTTCTTACTGGGAAAGGTTCCCGATTGGTGTAGTAGTTATTACCCCCACTCTAACCAAGTAGAGGCGGGAAGCCCTCCACCAATCCGGAACGTTTTTGTTACACTCGCTTTTTTTTCTCTGCCCTCCGTTGTCCGAAATACACAACCCACAACCTAGTGCTTCTTCGTCTCACGAAAACATCGAAGAATAGACCATTCCATGGAATGTGGAAGAGGAAAGGGAAGAATCAATAAGTACTGGAACCAGTACTTAAAAACAGTATGTAGATCATTTTTGTGCAACTGTGTGCCTCACCAACAAGTTCAAAATAATTATTTTTATGAAGAAATCTAGAAAATGTCAACAATTTGATCTGTTTATCAATACTGTTTCCGGTGCCTTTCGATTCTTCTCTTTCTTCTTCCACATTCGGTGGAATGGTCTATTCATTCTTAAATAGTCATGGCAACCTCCACTGAATGACTCTCCTTAAGGGACCAGTATCATTATCGCTCAGCGGAGTGGAGATCCCCTACTCCTCTACATTTGCTGTGTGCGTGCATGTCGGATGGGTTGCCTAACCCCCCGGCGGACGACAGAGACAACAAAACGAAACTATAAAAGCGTTGTCATAGCAACAAGTACATAAAGTGCCAATCATTAGAATTTTTACCACATTTAAAACGCGAATAAAGAAAAACCAACCGCAGATATTTTGTGCTGAGTCGTTAACTATGGTAGAGGACGAATTCGATAACTTCATGGAGAGAGTGACGAAAGTTGGTACGCAGTAGTTGAGTAGTACGCACGATTTGGTTTTGATTTCTTGGTATCAAACACTGAGAGGCTGGATATGATTACTTCTTTTCAGAGCACATGATGAAAATGTTGAAATCTTCGGACCCGCAAGTAGCAGACCGAGCCCGTCAAATGGCAGACATCCTGGTGCGTAGCGATCAAGTGCCACACAAGCATCAATACGGTCTTCTTGAGGAGGGAAGTGACGAACTCCAGTCCAATCTGTCGTCCAGGGTTGATCGGACTGTGATTAACAAGAAAGCCTTCGAGGTAGTGGGGGGAACAAATAATCCAACAGATATGACAAAAGGTCAGAAAAGAGGGGAAATGTATGTACTTAACTGCAAACAACCATGAGAACACACATTTTTTAAATTTAAAAATACCTTCCCAGAGGACTTCATGGCTCAAGTAGAAAAGGATGCTCAGAGAAGGGCCAAGGATCGCAAGGAAAGAAAACAACGTTCTGATGAACTCAAAGCAAAAGCAAATAAAGCCTTTCGAGAAAAAAAATTTGAGGAAGCATTAGACTTATACAGCAAGGTCAGTAAATTCTAGCTCAATATTAAATCTATTTAGTCTAGTGAGTTGTGTTAATTCCTTGTTTTTAGGCAATTGATGAAACACGAGATAGTGCTCTTTTATTTGAAAATAGGGCACTTACGTATCTACATCTTGAGTTGTTTCAAAGGGTTGTAAAAGACTGTGAGTCAGCATTGGGTTTGAATGCAAATAGTCTCAAGGTAACAATTCAAGAAACATAAATTACTTTTTTTTAAAAGAAGA